CTGGCATTTCCTCAAGCACGACAGGTTCACAGTTTAATCTGTATCAATCCCAAGATGAACACATCCATGAGGCAGAGGTAATTGTGGATAATCTTTCCTGGCTCTGCACAGTGCATACAGGAGGTAAATAATCCATACCATCCACAAAGGTGAAACAGAAAGCCCCACTGGTACACAGGCCCCACTCTTGGACCCGTGTGAAGGACAGTGAGAGCCTGACCGTCTCTCCTGCATCCCGCTCTCCAAAGAACCGTGGATTGTAACTGTACCTGGTCCTAGCTCAGCTCTGTGAGGTGAGGGAAGACTTCTTGTTCACCTCGTCCCGATCTGCAAGGAACGACCAACAACCCCGCCTCTACAACGAAACAAAAATACTTGTCCAAACGATTTTATTGTATGTAGCTGTCACACCTAATTTTGTAGAAGTTCTCTTTGGCCACGAAGCTTGGAAGCCTTCTACCCCGGTCATCCACGAGGAAATCCAGCCAGCACTTACAGACACCTCTATGTGATGGGACACCGTAGGAATGGCAGCCTGAATCCCCTATTTGTCTCAGGGTATCACTAATTATTACTACAGCTCTTGAAGATCTTATTAACAGCAAACACGACTAAACTGCACTGTCCTACTGTAGATTCGTGTTTACTAAAGTTACAACCTGTGTCTATTTTCCATAAACCCATCTGTCCTGTATGAAAGCTTAGTGGGCCAGCAGTGAATAGTTTTAATACTGGGTTATTTTCCCATGATTTCCATTTCAGTCATTGCAATGTGGAATTGGCTCTCATTATTCAAATTGCCATTGACGCTTAGGCTGAGACTAAATAGATGCGTTTTTTCTCTTTCAGCCTATGGCTTTTCTGAGGGAATCAACTGTTAAAACATGAGACACATTTATTTAATTGCTTTCTGAGCAAATCCTAAGCCATACAACAGCATAGAGGTCAAGAAGAGAAAAATCTTTGGGTTTTACTGACATTTCAGAATGCTATCATTAGATGAGACCTTGAGACATCTGCACGTTAGTTAATGGTTGTTCTGCTTTCATGCATAATGACCTATTTCTTATAGAAGAGCTAATATCTATAAATTTTTCATTTGCTGCCCAGAGATTTCAATAAAACCTAAGAGATTTGAATTCAGTGTGTGTTTCATATATCAAGTTATTACTGTAAAAAAATTTTCAGCTGCTTAAAAATGGTCATATACAGAGAATGTACTGCTGCTTTTTTATCTCTCTCAAAAAAACAGGTTCTGCTGGATGAGAGATACTGTTTAGTATATAAGGGCTTCTTAGTTTTGTCAGGGTTTTAATCTGTAACGTTAAACATAAAAAAAAAAAATATCCATCTCGTTTGAGCCACTGTTACATCAGGAGAGCTGTCGGAGGAGGGCTCTCATGTTTAAGTGATTTTAAGACTCTGGATCAGAGGCCACTTGCTTCCCCTTAAGTAATAATAATAAATACGCTAATGCTTTTAGTGTCATTGTTAATTCCTTATATTTGTGAACGCTCAGAGACAGGCTGAAGCGCTGTGGTCTGAAGACCGGATTTGAAGATGAGCTAGTCCCAAGGAGAACAGGGAAGCCGAAATGGTGTGCTTAAGGCACCGTCAGTTCAGTGTGGGAGAACAAGTCCTCCTCCACATACAAGGACAACAGACTGGGGCTTTAAAACAAAGTTCTGTTCGGGACAGCTTGCTCTCACAAGCAGCGAGGACTAGATCTTCATTAAACTTCCGCCATGCTAACTTCCACTTTGCCTTCAGTTCCCATCTCATCCTTACCAGTTTTAGCCAAGATCTTTGGGACTACACACTGAATATGCCATTCAAGAATAGATATTTGAACTATAATGCAACAAATCAACACATATTAAGTAGTAATAAAATGTGTAGTGGTAGTAATTCCAATCAAGTTATTAACTTATAATTTAATTTCAAGCATATGAATTTAAAATCTTTAGTTATGAAAGAAACACATGCACATGTGTTTATTTTTACTCCATCAAATTGCTAGGATTGTTCATCACCATAGGAACCTACCGTAACACTCATATAAGGAATTTCATTCTTTGTTAGTATATTAACCTTCTTGTTCTTTGAATGTGGATTTCAAAACAAAGCCATTTCAACATGCTGAGTGACTGAATGAAATGTATTATAAATTTGTGGCAAATGATGTTGCAAAACACATTCCAGTGTGACAATGCAGATATATTTGGAACAGTTTAGGATGTAATACTGTACGTTAGGTTGAAAAACATCCTTGGATGATGGAAACTGTCTGAGCTGTCTGATGGAAACTGAAAAGTTGAGAAATTCCTCACTAATTATCATGTGTCATGAGCACACGTGTTTTGCAAGATAATAAGAAGCTAATTGAAAAGTTCATAAAAATTAAGGAGAATGGGAAATCATGTGATGCAAAGATATCCAGACAACAGACTGGTCAGAATCTCATTATTGGAGCTTTGAAAACTAGACTGGAAGAAACCCCTAAGGTCATGTCCAGGCTGTCAGACAAAGCAGCGCAGAGAAACAATTCAAGACCTGGGGCAGTAATCCCCTATTCCAACCTACGCTGGAGCACTATCTGATTTAGCAGGTCAGCTGCAGGTGCAATGCAGTCCCATTAGCCCCGCTGTGTCTACAATAATAAATCTGCCTTGACTCTGTGTACCTTGGAGGTCCCTACGGTGCGCTCCCATCCACTTGCTGCTCTAGGGTTAGTACAGATGGATTCTATTTAAATGCAGAGGGTCTTACGACAAGGCCTGAAGGGGTCATGAAGGAACTAATGCAAGAGAAACCATCCACTCTCCATAACTACTCTCTGGGATTGTACCACTGTTTCTATCATTTCTCCGCTGGGATTTACAACATTCTCTCATTTGTTTTGGTGAAGCATATCATAACACCTTCCTGAGTGGAGATAAAAGGCAGGAAGGCAGCCTGGCTACGACACAGCTTTCCACCCTTTTGCTAAAACAAATCCTAACTTTGTCTAAGGTCCTGCAGCTGAGAGCAAACTGCCTGATCCAGGGATGCTCAGTGCGGGCACTATAGGCTGCTGGTGCTGTTGCTTTTGCAGACTTGCAGGCTGTAAGGGATACAAAACACCAAAATATTCAAACCGGTGCTCAAGTTCTTACGTTTATCTTGTCTCTGTTCTTCTGTAACATGGGCTTTTCTGGCAAGTTCGATTAGATGCAACTACTGATGTCCAGATGCAGAAGTTCCTGAAATCCTTCCACTGTTTTAAATAGGTTTTGGATCCAGGCCTAAGTTTAGGCAAGTCTTAACCAAGGGAAAATTGTTAAAAACCTAAGTCACAGATTTTACAGCCATATTAATTATCTAGCTAAGCAGCCACTACTGTCTTACAGACCAGAGAACACTGCTTACCATGAGTTGAAGATTATGGCTCTAACTGCATTTTTATAATCTATAAAACCGGACATGCGGAAACTATGGAAGGAAATTTCAGTAATTAAAGCATAGGTTCTCCTAATTAACTGCAAAGCATCATTAAAATCTAATGAAACTGTAGTGGAATAATACAGGATTCTGGCTTAACTGCAAGGAGATAAATGCAAACGAAAGTTGAATTTTCACATGGGTTTGAGTTTACACAATAGGACTGAATGCATTTACAATAGTTTACAACATTAAAGCTCACTTTTAACACTGTATGAATCAGTGTTGGGAAGTTAGGGTATTAGTGTATAAGAAGTTAACATATTAAAGAATGTGACATACTGAAGCACGAGAATCAAAGAAATCAAAATCTTTGTTACTTAAAATAGTTGTATTTGTGATGGTAAACCGAATTTCACAGCAGATGATTAATAAGATAACTGCTGTTGCATCAGGATGATGTAAGACTAAATTTTTCAGTGTAGCGACTTCATCTTGGCATATCTGAATAAGCTGCAGCATCATTCCGTATTACACAATAGATTCAACTGAAACAAGAACTTCAAAGCTCTGCAAGCACTAGACATTTTAAGATACTGATCTGCCATGACACTTCCTTACCCTCCCTCGGACACTTGCCTTTGAAGTTCTTAGGAAGGAAATCTTCATGGAAACTGGAGCTTCAATGCCTAATTTCAGCTTATGTGTATCAGGTCCACAGGAGCATCACTGATCTCCACTGATCAAAAATCTAGACCTAAAACTGTTATATCTTGCCTATGTTCAAGGTATTGCAGGTGGAAACCCTTCCATCTGACTTCAGCTCTCTATCCAAGGCTAGACAGACTCACTGCACATATCATGGAGAAAGAGGCCCTGAGGAAAACTCACTTGGTCTGTCCTGGCACACAATGAATCACTCTCCGAAGACAATCTTCTCCTTTAATCAGCTTTTGAAGAAACCCAAATGACCAGTCCTTTCTGAGGGCTAAAGTCCTGTAGGACTTCTGCCCCACATGGTGGCCAGCAGTGCCACATTTTCCGTATCTCCCTACCAAAGGCCTTAAGTTCTAGCTGAGAGATTTTAGCTCAAGGAGATCAATCTCTACTGCCATTAAATCCTACACTAATTATGCTGATGGATATGTCAATGTCCTGGGTATCAGCAAAAGGTCCAAGCCAATCAAACCCATTTCATTGCAACTCACAGATGCCAATACTTTTCAAAAAAACACTGATGTAGGTTAGACACCAAATTATGTTCTTGGACTAATTTGAAGACCAATTTCCCATTGATTTCAATAGTTAAGTACATTGAAATTACTTAGTATTTAGGCAAAGTAAGACTGGAAAGCAGAAAACATTTACCATAATAAAAAATAGAGGCATAATTCCAAAGCAGCAAAACAGTCCTTTTCCAAAACATCTAGTTTTTGATCCAAACACAAACATAATAATGGAGTAGCATGCAGTTAAGAATTTGTTAGTAAGTTATATGCTGTTACATAGTCCTGTTTCTAATAAAGTATACAATGGACAGAAACTCTTGCCATTTAAATTGTTACCTCATGTACTCATACCTTCTCTGTGTCAATTCCTTTAGACATGGACCAGGTTGAGACAATATAATCCATGACTCTTTCACTAAGGCCTTTTGGGACTTGATATAATTTTAGGAAATCCCTCACATTGTTCAGCATCTCATGGTATCGGTTGGTGTTGGCATACATTTGCTGGAAAATGGTGGTGACGTTTCCAAAAATAGTTGCATAAAGAAGAGCTGAAAAAAACCCAAAGGTAATTAAAAATAAATATGTATACTCCAGTAAATGCTACTCATAATTCAAGGATAACTTCAAAGAATTTTATGTATGATTACAAATTACTGCAAATGCATAGGTGTCAACTGAAAATCTCTATTTATGCACACACTCTCACACACACATATGTACAGAGTTATTATTGAATTTACCCATACAGTTCATACAGCCACTCAGTCTGCATTAATTTACAAAATCAGTCATACAGATAATGTCCACACATGGAGTTATTTAAAAACAGCTGGTGCATTTTAACTCTATACCCTACACTAATCCAAACTAATTTTCAACTGTAGCTTCAGCCTGACAGTAAACCTTGAAGGCGCTATCCAAAGAATCATGTGGATCTCCTGTAAGATCGGCTCAGCCTGCACATGCTGTTGTGGTGGGTTGACCCTGGCTG